CGGCTGCAGCGGAGGGGACCGGAGCCGCCGGGCGGCCGGGCCGAACCGAACACCACGCTGAGGGAGCGGCCGGGAGAGCCCCGCGCTGGGATAGCCCGCTTCAGAGGCCCCGGGACCTTGTCTGCTTCGGGGCCGCGTTCCGGGCGCTTCTCGTGGGTAAGCCCGGGGTCTGGAGACCGGTGCTTCAGGCGCATCTAGCGCGGGGTGGGGAAGGACGCGGGTGTTCCGAAAGTGGCGGCGGGAGAGGCTGGGCCCGGGCCCCTGCGGGTACGACCCTTTGCGTTGGCCGCACCTGTCGGAGGCCCTTGGGGACCCAAAAAGGTATCCCTAGGGTATCGTGTCGTCCACGACGCGTGGCCTGGATTCCGGACGCTGGCACTCCCGAGGTGACAGTGAGGCGACCTTCAAGGAGCCCAGGGCTGAGCCAGGCCAGAGCGCGGCAGCACCCCGATTCCACTCAGAAGCGTAACTTAATGCAAATTCCATCTGAACATGTCAGGGACCAGACATATAGCCTTATAGGGTCCCCCTAGATATCCTGAGAACTAACAAGTTCACTTTGTCACTTTTTTGACCCGAGTTTTAAAATTCTAACCTCCAAGGTCAGCCTTTTGCAGGTGAAAACAGATTTAGTGAAATGAATTGTTTATTTTTATTTTTTGGTAAAGTTGTGTTTAGGGAAGCTTTCAAAGTTAGGCAACCAGGAACTGGATGACCTATCCCTTAAACCTTCCTGTTTGAGAACACTGTCGCTGCACTTGCTCAGACACAAATTAGCGTCCACTTTGAGAGCCTGCAAAAGATGAGTGTTTAGGCCTCTGATTTTTATTTTTTTCTGATGTGTTTCACTAGAACTTTGTTTGCTTCAGTGGAATGTGTAAACCTTATCAATACTGCCTGCAGAGTGTAGCCAGGACTGATACCCTTTTCTGCAGGGTCTTTTGGTGATCTGGGGGTGAGTCTGAGCAGACACTATAGGGAAACAAGGTAGTTCCAGTATTCTTTCTGATTTCCAACTACCAGAGCAGCAAGAGGGAGGTGGCTAGACTGCATGCACTGGCTGATCAGCCCTGCTGTGGGTCTGCAGGGGAGAGGATTTCCCAAGACAGGGAGCTTAACTAGGAGGTTTTCTGAGAGGTAGACCTAGGGTGACAGATGGCTGTTTCCCTCTTAGGTCATGCTTTAGTGCTCTTTGATCTCTGACTCCAGCTTTATCACAGAGGAGCCCAGACAAGTGTAGAGCCCCTGGGGAGCTGAGTTGGCTCTGGGTGATGCTGAGTTGGGTTAGAAAGCCCAAGTCTGGGTGCAGGGGGTTTGGCAAGAGCTGGGTTTCAGCTTGGCCCCAGCACCAGAGTTGTTTCCTGTTTGATGCTCCAGGGACCTGTGGGATTCAGTTTCCCATGGAGAGCTCAGCTCTCCATGGAGGGTGTCTCCATCCTGGCTCTTGCTTTTGCTCCTCACTCCGGTGAGTTAAGGACATTGGCCTTGGAGTGGGATTCAAATTCTAGCTCCTTGCTCTTGCTGCCCTTACTGGGTATGTGATATTGGGCCCTAACTTAATATCTCTAGTTTGGCTCTTTACCCTTCTGGATTGCCCCTTCCTTGCTAGCCCCATGTTCTTCCCCCAACCCCTAGCAAACTAAATTGAAGTGTTGTAAGGATTAAGGAGACAGTGTTTTAAATCAAAGTATCCATAAAAATTTGACAGAATGACCTGGGAGGGTTTTTGAGTCTCATTCTGACTGGACTATTTGACTTAATAATCTTCTCTGAGTACCAGTAGGTATAATAAGGCAGGTGTTAGAGTAATTATTACCTTTTTTCCTTTTTAGGTTTTTTTTTGTGTGTGTGTGTGTCAAATCAGAAAATGTAAAAGGGCTTTGAAAATAATAGAGCATCATTCACATTGAAAGGAGATCTAAACTTTCAGTTTCCAAATAACTACCCCGCATGGTTTGCCATCTAACGCGGCCTTTGTTCCTGTCGTTGCATTTGGAGGCCCTGCCCCTGGCTTTGCACGCAGTAGGCCTCTGTGATTATTTGATCATTCTTGGATTAGGCATCTGGGCTCCCCATCTTGACTTCATGCTCCCAAGGTGAAGCATGAATCGTGGGCTCCTCTGCTTCATCCACTGTGGGTGACATGATTGTTCTGTTGCCTCATATAGCTCATGAGAAAGCTGGGGAGAGTGAGCAGGCAGGTGGCCACTTTTCTTCTCCTGTAGGGCTCACATGAGGAAGACATTGGGTGTCGAACAGTTTACTTAAACTCACTGCGGGTTGCACATACTCACTCATGCCTTTTGTGCACACTGCATTTTAACACTAGATGGTTGGGAGGTTTGATAAACTTGAGGTTAATGTCATAATGATCAATCTCTTCAAAATGATGATTCTGTGATCCTTGTGTTAGAAAATGGACTCTGGGTATTCATTTATATCCAGTATGCACTATGACTTTTGTGAGGGAAGACAAAATCATGCTTCTTTTTGAAGATGGAGATGGTAGGGGGAACTGTCTTCATATGAAGAGACATGTGGGTTCTTAGACTTTTTAGTCTTAGATTAGTGTCTGTCACACATAGATACACTGTCAATGGGCTCCTTCTCCTTTTCTCTTTCTTTCTGAACAATGATCCCTATTCTGACCTGCCTTCTTATTAGGTGTATCCAAATGGAGGCCACTTTCAGTATTGAAAAGTTCAAAATCTTAGTGAACAGACCGTACATAATAGCATGTATATACATCTGGATGTCTCTGAGGTATGATGTGCAGCTTCTTAAAGAAAGGCTTTTGTTTTATAAAGGGCTGCGTGGCATTATTCATTGGGAAGCCCTGCTCATTATGTGATTGTTAGTGTACCTGAGTGGAAGAAAGGGAAGGGGACTCTGGTTCAGCATTCTAGGAAGGACTGCTCTTAACCTGTTTGGTGATCAGAGTTTTTCTAAGAAGCAATGGACATCCACTTGATAAAGACTGACAAACGGCAGTGACTTCTCAGGTGGCCACTAACATCCTTGGGAGGGTTCTTGGTCTCAGGGTGTGAGGCTGTGAAATAGATTATGTTGATGCTTCTTGAATTTGTCCCTATTACCTTCAGGGCAAAGGAAACCTGAAAAGGGAATTTTCAGAGCTTAGCCTGGGGTTTCTAACAATTTTCAGTGTTAACTGAATAGTTCCTTTGATAAGAATAGAATGAAGGCTTCTTATTTATTTATTTATTGAGACTGGGTCTTATTATGTTGCTCAGGGGCTCCTCCTGCCTCAGCCTCCTGAGTGCTGGGACTAAGGTATATACCATCACACCCAGCTTGGATATATCTTGTTTTAATATGAAAATATTTTACTGTCAGAGTCAAAAAGCACTTGAAGATGCACCTTGTCTTCTTGAGGTCCTGGGAGAGCCCCTCAGCTTGAGTATGTGCACCCTAGTTTGGGAATCCTGGAGCTCAATTTCTAGGGTCTCTTCTAGTTCCAGAATTTATTAGGACATTCAAAAGCAGAAGGCAATCTACTCAGAGGAATTGGATTTTGTACAAATATCTGAAAAGGATGCTCCAACATTGAGGGGAAATAGATCTAGTAGTAAATTTAAAAACCGCCAGAATATAAATTACCTGGATTTCAATGTTAAGTAAGATTATGCTAGGGTTATTCAGGGGACTTTAGAATCTTTCTTTAGAAAAAAATTATTTGAAAATAACCATGAAAACTTGGATTAAATAGTTTGACATTTGCAGAATAGCATCTCTTTAGCTTACCTTTCAAAACACTTCATTCTTATTGCATTCCTTAATGACTAGACTTCTTTACTAGATAGCTGCTTATGTTGATTAAAAAATGCCACTGTCTCCTGACTTATGTTCACACAGATTAGCTGTTAGGAAATCCTACATTGAGTCACAATGCCACAGGCTTATTTCTGTCTCTTAAAATGGATATTAACTAGGGATATGGGATTTTATTTTTTCTTTCTTTCTTCTTTCTCTGGGTTTTGAGAGAAAAAGCACGAATACATGTGGAGAACTGTAGATTTTTAGAAGTTCTCCACTGGTTCTTTTGGTGGTTTGGTAAAAATCAATCAGTCCTTGCCAGTGGTTCTTTAATGTCAACAACACACGCTATGAGTCTGAATTTTTCAATGGTAACTTAAGTTTTGCAAAAAAAAAAAAAAAAAAAAAAACTAGAATAGATATGATCTTGTGTAGACTTGCCTCCTTTTATTGTGGGTCATTATCAAATAATTTCTCATTTTGAATGTGACCAAAGATAAAATGTCTCCCTAGAATGTAGGAGACATCACCTGTCTTATGGAATCATGAATTTGGACCTTGAGGAGCAAGTGAGCAACAAATGTAGAAACCATCCTTGAATTTGAGGACCACTGGGGAACTTTTGGGGAGTGGGGAGGACAATTTCCTTTGATCTCCAGGAGCATCGACTGAGGATCAGTGTGATGAATGACCACAAGACAGCTAATCTGTTTATGCCAAAACTTCATGGTGGAATCAAGTGTCTGTGTTCTGGCGAGAACAGCAGTGGAAGACGACAGTATTTATGCCGGGGGGGGGGGGTACCTTGACCTTTGCTGTTTCTGCATGACTTTTGGTTCCCTTTGTCCTGGGTCAAGCTGATTGCAGCTACTCAAACCAGGGATACTGGGCCAGCTGTAACAGCACGACCTGGAAACTTCTTAGGCCTGCAGAATCTCAGGCCCCCACACCTGCTAAATCTGAGTCTACATTTTAAACGTGTCCTCAGGTGGGATGCTTCTTTGTGTGTGCAGAGATGCATTCTTTTCAAAGCCACTTTGCAGAGGTTGGGAAGAGCGAGTGGCAGCACACACATGCCCCCTTTCCTGCTTGAGAGAGCTGGTTCTGGGTATTTCATTCAGCCTCCTGTCCTGCAATGAAAGGAAAGGGATTAGGGTTTCTTAGAAAAGATTGCTGAACCCATTCTCTCCCCATCCCCTCTCCTTTAATTCTGTGCAGTGAACTGTAAAATGGGAGGATCTAAGAGGGAAGGGACACGGGCCGTAACCCTCCCCTCCCTCAACACACACCCAAAACTTTGGGTGATGTTTTTAAGTTAGTGAAAATATGTCAGAGCAGGAATAGACATTTTCTAGTAGTAGATGCACCCACCCACCCACTCT